AGTGAGGCAGAGAGGTGAAGGAAAAGTTTGAGCTACTTTAAGTAGCTAATTCTTTTCTGCAAAATCACTGTTTAGGCCTTAAATATAACCAGTCAGCAATGCCTTCTCCATTCAGAATTAGGAAAGGTAACTTTATGCTTTCTGAGGTACTCCCCCGCAAAAAAAAAAAAAAATAGCTCTTAGGGGCAATCATTTTTAAACAAACAAACACGCTCTGCTTATCTGTGTCTATCTCACCACTCTGGATGTTAATCATCACTGAAATGGATACCCCAGGCCCCCAGCCTCAAAGAGCTTCCAGACTACAGGACCTCAGCAGAGGAATGAACATGCATGCCAGGGCAAACACCTCAGAAGCCTTACTCCCTAAACACCTATTGTTAATTTTGGGCAAATCTATCACTAATACAAGAGAGTACCCAGGTACTGTCCAAAGGATAGTTTAAATCACATTCATGTTTGAAAATATGTAGGGCTTCATTTGGGAGGAAGAAAGTCAAGTAAACTTTAACTTAAGATTGGCAAAAGCATATTAAAACAAAAGAACACCCACAAGTTTGCATACAGATACACTTCTTTCTTTCCATTCTTTGCTCTTATTCATTCTCAGCATGGGAAATTGCAGATAACACCTCTGCTTTTCCACCTGTCATACTATCTGTCTACTTGTAGTCAGCCTATGTTATAGACTGACAAAGTTATATTTCATTGTTTCGTTCTTATAGATGGAAACGAGGTTAGTTTCCCCCTATTCGTTAGGGAAAACTTAAGCGATTGTTGTATGAAACATTTCCCTCATTTTTATTATTATATTTAAGATATTTCTTCTTTCCCAGATTTCATAAAACCTTCAAACAAAACTGAATTCAAACCAAATAGATTCAAACTATCTTTGTGTCACCTTAGGAAAATAAACCAAAAATAACCTCAGGATACCAGTATCCACTGTTTGGGCAAAAAGCCTAAAGGGAAGCAAATTATTTGTTTGTGGTTTTAAAGTGGCCAAAATGCTTTCAAGCACAAGTATAAGACCATTAACAAGTCACAAGGAACCAAAGCAGTTCATCTTACTCAACAAAGCTATAATCAGTTAGGAACAGCCAAACTGAATGAGGCTTGCCCTAGGCCGGAAGGTCAGTACACCTTAGCAGTTTGTGTTTCTGAGAATCAAGAGGCTCTTTAGCAGGGAGCATAGACTTTAAGCCCACAGGTTCTGCTGTCATGTTTCCAAAAACATTCAGGACACGTGAGATAAACTAGACTGTGGTGTGGGTGTTCTTCCCCATCCTTTGCCTTTCAGCAGCACCTCCAAGTCAAATCATCCCCACTTTTGCTAGATACAGACTGGCAAGAGAAGATTCCACAATTTTTAAAGGTTCCATTCTGCAGCAATTGAGTACCTACTAGGTGAATGAACACTTAAGCCTCATTTTACTGGCAATACTATACCCATTCTTTAAAGATGATAAATCTCAGGTCCAGAGAGGTTATGTAGCTTCTGAGAAAAGTTTTATGTTGTGCTTAGAAAACATATCCTATTGTTCAACCCACAATTTGCCCAAAGCATGAACCAGTGCCCTGCCACTATCCAAGCAGCCATACTTTCACTGTAATTTGGGCCCAGGTTCCCTGATGCCCAGAAAGGGCTGAGGTGCATGCATCCCTGCTCCAGGGATGAAAACCACTTCTCTTAGAGACCTATCATGTCTCTGAAGCTGTACAGAAACAGACCACATCGGTAAACACTCTCCCCACCTGCTGCAACACACATAACTGCTCCCCTCAGCCCAGAAACCACAAGCAGTGACCCTGCTCTTCATCAAGTGTTGTGTTAAAACAACAACCCTAGAAGGCTGGAGACACTTCGCCCTAGTACACTGGTCTAGGAATCAAAACACACATGGCTAACAAATAATCAAGCTATAACATCATTTCACAGTCTCAAAACATGTATACTACAAACTCTTTTTCATTTTGTTATTACTACTTACAGAATGCAGATTCATGCCTATTATCTCTCTTTTAGGGCATTTTGAAAAGTAAAAAAATAAACCACCAATTCTTTCATCCCTTCATTCATCCAATCTCTGTAAGGAGAAAGAGAGATACCAAACTTTGGCTTGGCTTGCTTGTGTTCCAGTCATTTTCCCCAACTTCTCTTACAAGTCAACTGATATGCTCTTTGAAAGACATTTTTTTATATAAGAGGAAAATACTATTTTTGCAGGTGACAAGACAACATGCTCCAAAACTCCCAAAGAATCATTAGCCCCCCAAATCCCCAAGGAATCATTATTATCAACAACAAAACCATACTTGAATGAATACAAAATAATCAGGTTCAATAGTTACAAAAAATCTTTATATCAATACTCAACTGGAAAACATCCTCAAAAAAACTGCATTCATAGTAAAAACAAAATGCATAAAATATTTAGGAATACTAGAAACAAGTGACTTTTCAACAGATATGTGGGAACTGTACAGTGAAAAACATACTTCTGAACACAGAACTGTTTTGTTGTTTTTTTCTTGCTGAGGGGGTGGGCTTGGAGATGTCACAAACACACAAAAATCCAGCAAGGATAATTGATCCCTGACAGATAACAAACTCTCTAAAAGCAACAATATTTAAAATAGTATAGAAATGGAAAACTATAAGTGGTCAAATTGAAGAGTCAAATATAGATTTTGTTAGGTGTCATCGAATGAGTTCCACCTCATAGTACAGTAGAAGGAGTACTGCTCATGCTACCTCACAAAAGCTATGTTTGAGTTATTGCAGCCACTGTGTCAATCCAGCTCATTGAGGGTCTTCTTTTTCATTGTCCCTCTACATTACTAAGCATGATGTCCTCTTATCCAGATATAGATAAGATACATATTATATATAATATATATTTGTATATGTGACATGTATAAGGAGCTCAGGTACCTTAGTGGTTACCAGTCAGAGTGCTAACTTCATGGTCAGCAGTTCAAAACTGCTCATTTGTGTGTGTTTAAAGTAAGTTTTCCAAAACAAAGGAACAGAAAACTATTATTTAACACAAAGCCATTTAGAAAAAGAGTAATTTAAATTCATGCCTTGCATCAAAACAAATGTGCTATTTGATGAAAGTGTTTAGTATTAAAAATATCCCATTATAAGAAAGCCAGTGGGAAAATGAAGATTTATCAGATCTGTAAAAGAGTTACACATTTCTTGGTGATGAAAAAAGAAAATTGCAAAAGCCTGGCAGTTTCTAATATATTAAACTAAAACTTCTACAGGATAAAAACAATAAAGTAAAAAGAACTAACCTGGAAAAAAAATGTTGCATCAAAGATGGCAGACTAGAGCCCAATATGATCCACAAGGATTTATATATTAAAAAACAACAGCAACATCAAGACCCTAATAATAAATGGGCAAAGACTAGGAAATAATCGAAAACAAAGATAATCTCACAGGTGAAAGAAACACAAGGGAAAGTATTTATTCTGGTCAGTGGTAAAAGTAATGTAAAATACCAAAATTTTGAGTTATCATTACATGCCCACTAAAATGGCAAAAAAAAAATTTAAATTCTCACATGAAATTGGTTCAACCATTCTTTCCTAATGCCACTGTAACTTGGTACAACCCCTGTGGAAAACATAACTTTTGATCCAATAATGCCAATATTGAGGCTGTATCATAATTAACTTAAAAAGATATATGTATTGTATGGTATGTAAATCAGATCTTAACAAATCTATTACCAAAAATCTTGAGTTAAATTACTCATTTCATTATTATCTGTAATACCAAAAGCTGAACACAACATAGAAGTTTGGAATTAAAGCAATTTTTAAACATCTTATGATGGTACAGCCCACATTTATAATGCACCTATTCTGTTAGGATCAGCAAGTTAACAATTATGAGGGGGGAAGTAATTTTTTAATGTGAAAATAGTTGTCCAAAGGTGGTGCTTTTAACGCTTATCTTTTAAAAAACAAAAACTTTAATGTTACTATTCTGTTGTGGTGATGGTGATGGGAGATTGTGTGCTACCGAGTCAGTTCCGACTCTTAACAACCCTGTTTAGGGTTTTCGAGGCTGTAAATCTTTATGGGAGCACAGAAAGCCTCATCTGTCTCTAGCGGAGTGATTCGTAGTTCCGAACTTTAACCTTGCAGTTAGCAGCCCAGCTCATAATCCACTACACTACCAGGCTCATTATACCTTTTTAAAATCATAATTGGATGGAGTAAGATTCATTCTAAACGCTTCACCTCTAACCCCAAATATTTCTTTCCCTGTCCTACTGAACAGCTTAAGTGGGTTCAGGTCAGTTTTTCATTCAAAGTCTCAGACCCTACCCAAAACAGGTCAACTGCAGCTGTACGCAACCTAGACTTATCCAACAAGCACAGGCGCAGATTCAAGTCATAAACCATAGTTGACACGTGACCAAAGGCTTTTCATTTTTTTTGAGGGGAGAGGAGAGTGAGCCCTCTGGCTACGTCAGACACCACTACTTTTCTCTATATTCAATTTTTTCTGAGCTCTGAAACATAACAACCTTTGTGAGCGGGAGGAGGAGAAGAATGTCCATAGAACATCCTGATAAACCATTAGTGGACATGTTTCTAGACTTGGACGGCAAGAGGTGTCCAAAACATGAAAGAACCCTCGACCAGCTGGTTCCTCAGAGGCTGAGGAACCTGGCCAGGCTGATACACAGACAAAACTGAAGGAAGTGCTTAAGATGGCTAATAGTGAGGAGCCGCCTACGGGGGAGGGTGCTGACTGCGGGATGCTCTTGGGAGGCTTCCTCAGAAGAAGGCCTCGGACGGGAGAGGCACCGAGACCCCCCCGAGGGTGTTCAGGGAGGGGTCTCGGAGAAGGCCGGGTATGGCCTCTGGATTCCGAGTGCGACACAGCCCCAGGCCGAACAGGCCGCGGCGCCCCGCCCTTTCCCTGGACACGGGCCGGCCTGGGGCGGGGAGCGGGCAGGCGAGCGGGCGCTTACAGGTCGGTGCCGAGCCGCGTGAAGCCGGAGTTGAGCGAGGCCCGGGCTATCCGGCGCCAGAGCAGGTCGCAGCTGGTGAAGCGCCGCAGCCAGCGGCATACCTGGGCCAAGCGGCCAAGGGCCCGCATGTCCAGGTAGGAGCAGACGAGCAGCAGCAGCTCCTCCGGCAGGCGCCAGAGCGCGGGCTCCGAGGCGGGACTGGAGGGTGACTCCGGAGCCACCGCCTCCTCCTCGGCTGCCGCCGCCATGGTCACCTCTTTCCTGGCATTGCCACCGCACGCGTGACCCCCTGGTGCCTCTGCTGTCCCCGACATTTCGTCTTCCCGCCACCCAGTCCTGACTCTCTTGTCCTCTGCTTTCCCATCTTCTCTTCCTTTTGTTTCCTTCCCCAACCCTGTGCTCTCATCTCCCTTCTCGATCTTTCTAGCGCCTTCCTCCTCACTTTCACCTAACTCTCCTTCGTCCCCCAGCCTTGCCCTCGCTCCCGCTTCAGCCCCCAGCCCCGCTGCCTTCTTCGTCTTCGGCGGCCCCGACTTCCCTTCCGCTCCGCTTCCTCTTCCGCCTCGCCCTGAGCTCGCTTTTCCTTTCCCTTTCCTATGCTTCCCCTTTACGACTCTTTCTTCTTGCGGTTTCTTCGCCTCTCCACCCTCGCCCTCGCCCAGCCCACCGTTCCCAGGCGGCCCCGAGCGGCCCCGGCTGCCCATGAGGGGCCGCGGGGCCGGCCCAACCGGGAAACAATTCCAAGCCGCCGCCGCTGCTGGCGCCTCGGGAGGAGGCGACACCATGTCGGGCCGGGTCACATGGGACGGCGCCGACCGAGGCCTGGGCCCGCCCCTCACACCTGCGGCCTTGGACCTGCCTCGCGGTGCCGGCCTGGGCTAGGAAGCGAACCTCCACTCCTTGACCCCTATCCCCTCGGCTGCCCTGAGCACTTAGTGTAAGCACACGCATTTATTCATCAAGCTTGGAAAATACTCATCTGGCTTCTTGGGAAGCTCCTTCTGGGCCCTCCCTGTCTGAGGCCTTAAGAGGATATTCTGTCTTCAAAGAGGCACTTCCTTAGAGCCCCTGTCCTCAGGAAGCTCCTCGTTGGTTGAGCTTCTGACTCCTGGAAGCCACCTCCTCTTCTTCAAGTTGTGCTCCCTTCCCACAGGGCCCCATGAAACTTCAGCCCTAGAAGTTAACAGGTTCCATCACCAAGGTCTCAGACCATACAGGGTGTGAACCAAGGTCCTGTTAATAAGTTTGTATTTTAGACATACGAGGGGACTTTTTAAAGTCCATGGAAAAATGGAAATTTTCTGAAACTTTTTGGAGTTCCCTGCAGTCTTCTAGTTCCTGAGGCCCCAAACAGACGATTCAAGAAACAGCAGTGCCAGGGCTTCTTATTAGTCACGACCCAAGTGCAAAGTCAACCAAGATCTCTATCCATGCTATTCCCGGGGGCAAAAGCTGAAGGGTGAACTATCCATGCTACCCAACAAGGTCCTCACTAGGCTTGTGTATCTATTGAGCATTGGAAAGACCTTAGGATGTCCTGTAAGCATGAATCCCATGCCAGTTTGTGAAGATGTATACCAAAAAGAAAAGGGAATTAAACTATCCCATTAATAATTTTGTTAATCACATATTGAAGTGTTAACTACATATTGAAGTGATCATATTTTGGATATATTGAACTGAACAGATTTTTAATGTAGCAACTTCTTGTTAAGTGCCTTTGAGTCGATTTAGACTCAGTAACCCTGTATAGGGTTTCCAAGGAACAACTGGTGAGTTAGAACCACTGACCTTGTGATTCAAACTGACCTTGCAGTCTCGCTCATTATCCCGCAATGCTACACCAGGACTCCACAATGTTGTTGTTGTTGTTGTTAAGTACCCGTGGAGTCAGTTCCGACTCATAGTGACCCTGCACAGGACTCCACATTAGGAATTTTTAATTGCACATGTGACTAAGATTTGTGACTAATTTTTCTGTTGGAAAGCACAAGGCTAGATAGTGAGATTGGATGGGCAGGCAGAAGATGCCCTCCTGTACCCTAAAGCTTAAGTGTGTGCATATATACTTGTACCCCAAATCCAAATAGGAGGGATTTCAGGATTTTCTTTTGTATTCAGCCACATCTCAAGATGCATATTTTGGGAGGAGGAATTAATAAATTAATTCTAAAAAGTACCAACATCTAACATAGCTGAGGAGAAACCCGGGAAAGCCTTTACATTTCATCATGGTGCTGCAGACGCATCATGTAACAAGGTCAGACCAGCATCTGGCTTTGCCCTAGAATTACTTTTTGATCTTAGCAAAACAACAACAAAAAACCCCACCTATCTTGGCCTTTTAGTGTTCTCAGACTGTAGCAGAGTTAATGCCTCTGCCTTACTTTTGAGGGATAAATGAGATGATCCCTGTAAAATGCTTTGAACTACTTTAAGAAAATTCTCAATGATAGTTACAGGTCAAATCCTGTTACAAAAAGTACCCTTCCTTCTCCTCTCCCCCCCCCCCTGCCCCGGCCAAAGTGGGAAAAAAACACATACAACAAAGCCTTTGTGTTTTAAAAAAAGGAAACTCCAATCAATGGGTTACTTATTAAAAGCAATATTTTTGATACATTTCAGTATAGCCAATGAATTTATACCATCTCGTACAGATCATTATAAAGAAATATTTATTCACAGGTATGGTATCAGAAAACTGTTAAAATGGGAACTTTGCAAACTGAGGTGATGTCATCATCAATTCAATTATATATCTGTCTTGCTACATTTTTGTAGTATAACCATGGAAAGGAAAACAAGAGAAAAACACAGATTCCGGTTCCTGCATTTTGTGTTCAGATTTGTGTTAGAAATAAATTAATTTTCTTATGGTTTGGCTATTTTTAAATCATTTGTACATAATAAAGCTGAGTAGTTAACCCACATTGTACTTACTTTTAATTTGAGGATTAGAAGGTACAGAAGCTTATTTAATTAACCCAACATAAATCAAATCAGGATTAAAATCCAAAATCATAGAAGTGTAACTTTTTCCAGTCACAGGGACACTAATCTGAAGGGAGAACTGAGAAAAACCAATGAAAGTCTAGACCTGTGCTATCTAACATGTGGCAATGCAGTATTTGAACTATGTCTAGATCAAATAGACACATGCATAAGCATGAAATTCACATCAGATTCTGAAGACTTACACGAAGAATATAAAATGTTATTAGTAATTTTATATTGAAGTGATAATATTTTGGATATGCTGTGCTAAATATATTTTTAATATTGCCTCTAGAAAATGTCCTAGGTTACCTTCATTGATGGAGAAATTAAATAATCATTTATAAACATTGATTAACACCTCTTTCACAAACTACAAACCAGGTGAACTTTGGCTAGAATTTATGGTTTGATAATTTCCCCAACCACCAAAATACTCACTATAAAGGGAGAAAGGCAACACCAAGATAAAAACTTGACATATACTTATATTCTGTTTTTTGGTGGTAATGTTGTTGTTAAGTGCTGTCAAGCCGGTTCCAACTCATATTACCCTGTATACACGGTTTCTGTGGAATGACTGAAGGGTTGAACTACTGACCTTGGGGTTAGCAGTCCGGTGCTTATCCTACAGCGTCACACCAGGACTCCCTGGTAGTGATATGCACCCCTAAATTCCTAAGCATTAGACACCAGCTAGAATTTTTCACTCATCTCCATAAACACACAAATTTAATTTGGGATTTAAAACAAACTTGGGGAAATGGCATTATGTGGGGAAAAAACTTTAAAACTTCTCTTTTCAGGATAGGATGTTTAAAAGAAAATCAACTATGGCTAAAAAAAGATGAATGTGTAATGAAAGTAAATGCATGTCTTCATAGAGGACCTAGATAGTAGTTTACTTTCAAAGAAAACCCACCACTTGTCCTGGTGAGTTGTGCATAACTATGAAACTATGATGCTAGAAGCTGTGCCGCCAGTATTGTAATTACCAGCAGGGTCACCCATGGTGGACAGGTTTCAGCAGAGCTTCCAGACAAAGACAAAGTAGGAAGAAGGAGAGGCAGGCTACTTCTCAATGGCTAGCTACTAAAAACCATATGAATCGCAGAACATTGTCTGATACAGTGTGGAAGATGAGCTGCTCAAGTTGGAAGGCACTCCCAACTGGGGAAGCACTAACTGCCTCCTCAAAGTAGAGTTGATCTTAATGATATGGATAGAGCAAAACTTTCTTCAAAATAAGGAGAAACAGATGAAAACATCCATTAATAATCAAAACATGAAATGTATGAAGTATGAACCTAGGAAAACTGGAAGTCATCAAAAACTAAATGGAACACATAAAGACTGATTTCTTAGGCTAAATTAGTGTCTGAAATGAACTGGTATTAACTATTTTGAATCGGACAACCATGATTTACTATACCAGGAGTGACAAGGAGGAATGACGTCACATTCGTAGTCAAAAAGCGTTCTAAGATCTATCTTGAAGTACAGTGCTATCTGTAATAGGGTAATAGCTATACTTGATGAAGAAATTGAAGGATTCTGCAACTTCTTCAGCCTGAAATTAATCAAGCATGCAATCATGAAGCATTGATAATTACTGGTGATTAGAATGCAAAAGTTGGAGAAAAAGAGGAAGGATCAGTAATTGAAAAATATTACCTTGGTGATAGAAATGATGCTGGAGATAAAATGACAGATTTTTGGGAAAACAATGACTTATTAATTGTTTATGCCTTTTTTCAACAATATAATCAATGACTAAAATGTGGATCTTGCCAAATAGAACACATAGAAATAAAATTGACTACGTCTGTGGTAAGAGACAACAGAGTAGCTCAATATCATCAGCCAAAACAAGGCCAATGCCTGACTATGGAACACATCATCAATTGTTTACATGCAAATTTAGGTTGGAGCTGAAGAAAATTAAGGAAAGTCCACAAAAGCCAAAATATGATGCTGAGTATATCCCACCTGAGAAGGAACCCTGGTAGCATAGTTGCACATTGCAATGCTAACTGAAAGGTCAGCAGTTCAAATCTACCAGGTGCTCCAGGGGAGAAAGATGAGGTTTTCTGCTCCTGTAAAGATTTTTGTAAGTGCTGTTGAGTCAGTTGCAACTCATTGTTCTTAAGTGCCTTCGAGTCGGTTCCAACCCATAGGGACCCTGTATAGGGTTTTTGAAGAACCGACCTTGAAATTCAAACCAACTTTTAAGTGCATTAACCCACAGCGCCACACCAGGACTCCACCAACAATTCATCATTAAAAAAAAAAAAGCATTCAACTCATAAAGACCCTGTAAAGATTTAAAACCTCAGAAACCCAATACAGGGTCTCTGTGAGCCAAAACTGGCTCAAGTGTACACAGCCAGCCAGCCAACATATCCCACATGAATTTATAGACCATCTTGAGAACATATTTGATGCACTAAATACTAATGGCCAATGAACAGAAGTGCTATGTAATGGCATCAAGAACATCATACATGAAAAGAGCAAATAGTTATTTTAAAAAAGCAAATAATCATTAAAGAAAAGATTTTTAAAAATGGATGTCAGAATAGACTCTGAAAATTGTTCCTTTTTATTGTTAATTGAGTAAACAAATCAACCAATCCTACACTTCCTTTCATCTCAATGACTGTAGACCCCTAATGCAACAACACATTATCCCACTTCCTCCCTGTGGTTCCTAGTTCCATTCTACCCACCTTCCCATATCCCTTCTCAACTTTATCCCTAGGTAAACACTGCCCTTTTGATTTGAAATTATTGATCATTACATGATGAGCATTGTTGTTGTTGTCCCGCCTATAGACCTATCTACTGCTTAGCT